AATTACCAATACCCACTATTTTTACTAGATATTAATAAGTTTAGTTGTACGGTTTTTACCCTTGTACATTCTATTGTTTGTTTTCAGCTTCTCAAAGGTTGACTGTAAGAGATTCTTCTATGGGATAAGTTCGCTATTGCGTGTTAAATAGTTTCATGTATCCAATATAAATTATGTACAATAAAGATTTTACAACACAATCTGTAACACATTTATGTTGATGTCATGTAATTTTCATCAAAATATCAATAATAGAAACTATATATATATAAAATACACACATTACTTTATAACATACATTTCAAATCTCAAAACATATTTAAAATTTTCCAAGATTTTTGTAAGTACTTACTATGGTACATTACGAAGACACTTGTCAATTAACCAATTAAAAAAATCTCTTTTAAGTCTTAATTTACTCACGTATTGGTTGTACACTGCTTATCCTAAAGTACAGGATTTACCTATTTAGAAAGCAGAGTTTTACCTATATTTAAAATGTAACATTTATATTGAAATAAATTATTATTATATTATTATACAAAATTTGTTACTCTTAGTCTATGTTTTGTGAAACAAAATTGTAATTTCTGATTTTTTACGATGAATAGGTAGCTATTATTGAGTAATAGAGCTTAGCATATTATGACCACTAATACATCGATAGCATCTGTCGTGCGATCTGGCGATAGAATGACTTTCACTCCTTTTGTTATAGTAATGTCACTTTTTGTTGCTAAAGTATCATGTCAAACAATCGAGCTATCTATAGACTTTCTTATCTGCCATCGGTTTTTATATTTATCTCTGTTCGATATTCGATTGTTTGGTTTTTGCTCTATTTGATATACAATGGATGAAAGTAAAATTCTAGAATACGACTCCATAATTGATGTTATTATTTCGGCCTATATCCTATTTCTTCTGTGGGAACGTCGTACGAGTATATGAGTTTACATAAAATTATGAAATTACCAAGACATCTTAGTAGAAACAATACGACCATATTATTTCCACATTTTATTGTACACACACTACCCGCTGATAATCAATGCTCCTTTCCAGTGAGGGTTTGCTGGAAGACATTCTAAAAGAGTTAAGCTTGCCTGTATTATATCTTTATTCGAAATAAATTATGACAACGTTATCTTTGTTTACAATAAAGTATAAACTTTTTATCTGCGACTTCGTTCTCGTGACCGAGATATATTGATTAACCGAAATAAAAAGGAGTCTGCCCTTTTCAATCTAAGAGATAACAAACAAATACACCCCATTTCACATTTATTAGTATGAATTAGTGACTATTATGTCATATTTAAAAAGGATCGCAAACATCGAGGTAAGAGAAAATTATGCTTGGCATTTCATTGCATGATATAATTCGAAATGTGGATACTGAAGAATAACTGATTATATAGAACGGGGAACCTACAAGACGTGTGTTATTTGACTTGGAGAAGGAGCTAGGATACTCTTTATCCCAACCAACAAATATGTTCCGGTCATGCGAACAGTGACGTAGCTACAGTTAGTTAAAAATATTGAGAAAGTCCAAGACGTGAATCATACATACATCCGGTAAATTTTACAACACATCGTCAAGGGCAGTTCGTATTTGCTAATATGTAACCACTGATCATATAATACGTTCTATGACTAACAAAAAGTATCGCTTTAATTGCTTTATTAAATCAAATACTACTAATATCGTATATAATCTGTCAGTTCTAGTTCTGAATAAAAACATTATTTATTTTGAAATGGCTAAATGTTTAAAATGTAATTTTCATTTATAATCTAATGTAAATAATCATAATAATGTACTTTAAATATATTTCATGACATATAAAACACTCGTAACATGGAAAGGGGGTATAATATATATATATATATATATATATATATATATATATATATATATATATATATATATATATATATATATATATATATATATATATATATAATTGTTAAATAATCTTTCAAACAATATAAAAATAAATTCAAAGCTCAAAGACGTAGCGTAAATTTAATAGTTCTTTAAAAAAATATTCTCCTTTAGTGTTTTGTTCCTCTTTTTGTTAAATGCGTATTCCAATAAATTTCTATTAAATCGTATACTGACTTCAGGTTGAATAGTCGGTTGGTTGTGAATGATTTTTAGAACTTTTGCCTGTCTCTCAGTCTACATATTCTGGCATCACAAAATCTACTGCACCAATTTGATGCGGTTCCCACAGCTGTCTTCCTGAAGGCATAACCTACAATATGGTATATGTTTCATCTTGATACGCCATTTAGAAGTGATTTACTTTATCACGCTTCGTCACCAGTGAGAGACTTTGTACGAAAGTCGATTGCTTGGGTACCTCTGTCCCATTCGTGTTTCAACCGTGAAGCAGTTGTGTTTGCATGGCTGTGTTTTGGTTTGAAGGGTGGGATATGGCGGGAATTTACTGGGTACAGAGGAATAACACCTGAGTCCTCGGGAATGGCAACGAATGGGGGATATCATGGGCGAAACAGTTTACTCTGTTATGTCCATGGTACTGCTCATGTTTTTAGGCGACGGTTACCACTTTTCATCAGGTGGACCGTCAGCTTCTTTGCCATTCTAAGTTCTATAAAAAACTGAAACTATGCAAAAGAAGTAGCAGGCAAAAAGCTGGACAATAAAAGGCTTGAATGACAATAATAATACTTGATGATTTCCGTAAGGTTATTTACAAAGTCCACATACATACTTAGAAAAAGATAAAATATTTAGATTAAAAAACAGAAGCTCAAATAATCACAAAAAACTCGTGTTTGACTTGACAGAAACGACAGATGTTTATCAAGCGGTATCTCCACATTACACGGCGAACAGAAAGTCTGTCTGTCTTACATTTGTACTCATTCATTAAAATTAATTCCCTCAATACTAGAATCTGACAGAACATGGCTCTAGCTCGATCGCGACTAGTTTTGTCATGCGAATTTCTAAAGACATAAATCCATTTGACGTTTTTATTTCGTCTCGTTACAAACGCAGATCGCAACCTTTAAAATTAAGACAAATCCTTTCTCTTTTTAATGGTCGGATCGCTTGATTAGAATTAAAATTTTAATTAATTTATTAATTATTCCACTACGTATTAAGTTAGCAACGAAAGTGATTCGCAATAATGTCGATGACCTCGGGGTATAATAATGACGAATGGAATAATTAAAAATCTATGCAAATCCATTTATTACAGTAATAGGCTGGATATACATTATTATATTTACTATATAACTGGTTCAACTTGTTCTCAAGCTGAGAATATATAAATACACATTAATGATGGCAAGATTTTCTAATAAACATTACAGTCGACTTAACTTCGTTGACCCATCGGATGGAATTGGCACTATACATATTTCTTCTATGCTGGGTTTAATTATACGCAATAAAATAATTGACTTTATTACATGAATATTGATTAGCGTAGAAACTTAACTTATTATTATACTAATACTTAATGATACTTAGAAATCAGTTAAACTGTGTTCTGTTTTCTTATTATCATTGTGTATTTCATAATTGTGATGTAATAAAGGGTTAGGTAAATAAATTAACAGTAGTAAAAGAATTATCAACATCGATTAATAACTGCCGAAGATATCGCAGAATACACACACACTCACACACACACAATCACGTACACGCATCACGCACACACAGGCACGCACGTGAACGCACACACATGTATGTGTTATACATACGTCCCAAAAAATTTAGACGTTAAAAATCTACCAGAAACATGGACTTAATTCCTCTCATAACGTTTGATATCTTTTATTATTATTATTTTTAAATGCACACAACTTGTAAACATTCTTTTGAAACTGTTAAAAACTGTGTAAGATCTACATTTGTTAATAATTGATTATCCACTAGGAAATAAATATATGGAGCATGAATATTTTTTGTGCCAGGTATTAATATGCAAGGTATTAGTATTCGCGCCAGACGTAATGAATCCCGGATCTCATACCAAACTGTTCAAGGCGAGGCAACATGAAACAATAAATCGTATTAAGTCTTCAATGGAGCCGATTCCGAGGCATTTCTCTTACCTTATCTCCTTAACCTATTAATTTTAAATTGATTGTTTCGCAAAATTACTGTTTTATGGACTATCATAAACTAAATTTATAATAATTTTGACTTAAACCTCATAGAAAGGGGGAAAGGGATTGTTAGCAATGGAGTTTGACAGCCCCATTGCTAACAATATGCCTTATTAGGTCGACCTCCACGTGGTTCCCCCTGGAAACCATCGTGAACAATTCTTGTTGTATTCGTCACGATGGGCTAATTGACCTACTTCATCCTCACCTATCATCCTTCACTAGTGCCCCGCCGGTGTATACCGATAGCGCGGGTAGGATTACCATTCCATTATCATCCATTAAAAAAAATAACCTCATAGAAATTTAGTTCATATTGGTTCTTAGAATAAAGATTTCACTGTAATATCATAATGAAATTTTAATTTTAGCTTTAGAGAAATGGTCTCTCAGAATCGGTTTCAATGTCAAAAGTTCAAGGGAAAAAATTGAATTAGAAAATTTTTAATACTTTAAGCTTAGTATTGGATTGAATATGTTAATATCATAATTATTTCACCTTCATCATAGACTGTCAAATGAAACGATCCCGAGCCATCTACTTCCCACAAATAAAGTAAATAAATATTAAAGAAAACTAAACTACCGTGACGCTATCATCTTTTGCACGAACAAAGATGATGTTCATATCTGTATAAATATGAAGTTTGTTTATTAACTCTTGAAACATTAACAGTTCTTCATTTAAATTCATCATGAAATTTGAATTACACATAGATTTTTTTTATGCAACTTAGAATGGCAAACAAGCTGACGGCCCACCTGATGGAAAATGGTAATCGTTGCCTATAGACAGGAGCAGTACCATGGACATAACAAAGTATACTGTTTTGCCCATGATACCTGAGTACATGATACATGAGTTAGGTATTATTACTCTGTACCCTGTAATAGATACTTTATCGCTGTCAGTCAAAAAATCCTGTTCACGCAGACAAAGTCACAAGTAAAGACTAGTGTTGTATTGTTGTTAGTATCTAGTATACTGTACAATAACTTTCCTTTTCTGTACTATAAAAAAATATATGTCGTTATTTTTGTGAACGAACAATAAATACCTTGGAAACTACAAATGAGATATGAAATCAGTCGATCTGAAAAACCCATATTATTATACATTAATAATCATACATAATTTTCTCCCTTTAATTTGCCGCATACCGTAGGTATGTTATTAAAACATCATCGGACACCCGGAAGACAGCTCGTGTCAATAAATCAGCCCTCGTTAACCAAGATGCTGCGACCACCAACCCATATCGGATGATCGTAATTGATATCTGTGCACATTATGATTCCAATTAATCACTAGGCAGTGGCAAATTATACACACTGTTAAGAATTGTAGCTTAAATAAATTTCGCCTGGCAACATTTTCGCACAAAAAAAAAAAAGTCTGTCGGTTGTTATCGAATGTGTCGGTAGAACGTACGTTCGTTGTCGTCGTTCTCGTTTAAAAATATTATCGCACGCGTGCATATATTGCCGCGAATATCGTTTGTCTTTTCGTATCGCTTTTTTAATCATATCACACATAACCAAGAGGCTGATTTAGAGGCGGGCATTGCACTGCTGGTCGGTTCAAGGCGGTGGATAGGTAACCTGGATCTGAGGGTAAGTTCGAACGAGCCAGAAGTACTGGGAAGCCTAAAGCCAGAACCGAATCCTGCTAACTACAAAGTTTCAGGTCAGTGGTCTCCACTTTAATTATCCTCTTGTGTTTCTTATGTTAACTACCACCATTGTATTAAAATTTCATACAGTCCACTAATAACCGTTGCCGGACGATTAATTTCATTTTTTGTAAGATCTTATTTTACGAACGGTCAACATTTTGTTGGTCCTTCGAGCCGGATTTTGTTGTAAGGCGATCTTTGGATAATTTAGTGTAATTTCGAGTTTAAAAAACTAATTTTCGTAATTCTTTCGCATTATTAATTTTTTGTAAAAATAAGTGGGTATTTTACATCATACATTAGCAATCAGGATTTCTTCCATTTTGACGCCATATTGCGTTTCGTTGTATTAATTTCATGAAACGTTTTGTTCCATCATTTGTCGCAATAAATCTCGCCGATCGTTTTTATTGAAATAACTTTTTGCAAAATAATAAAAACATTATTCATTGAATATAAATAAATATTTTCATTGTTAATATTGATAATTTAAAAATCGTAATTCTTTATCTAAAATATTTAAATTGATTTTGCGCTAATAAAACTTATCGTTTCAGAACGTATCTTAAAAGTGACTGTCAATGTAAAAATTGATTGTCATATTTTGTTTTCGTAATTTGGTTGTCAATTTCGTTTGTTTTGATTTTGTTGTTTGTTATTTTCCAAGTTATTTCATTTTATTTGGATATTGCGTTGTAATTAAAAAATAGTTATTTTGTTAAACAATGGAAACCAGTCGTTCATCGTTGGATGCAGGCGATAGAAATCGCATTGGGCGTGATTATGCTTTTGCCCGCATAGAAATGATGGAGGGCACCGATTTAATTGGTTATAGTTTACAGGATGTAAAGGATATTGAGGATGATTTCCATAAGTCACAGTTGGAACTATTAACATCGTTGTCCGGGAGTGATACATCCAGTGAATTAAAATTGTCATTTCGTTTTGAGCAAATAGTAAAATCAATAAAACATCGTTTGAAAAATATAGAACAGAAACCTGTTATATCGTCTAGTGGTAGTAGTAATATGAAATTACCCAGAATTATTATAAAACCCTTTGACAGCCGTATTGAAAATTGGGTCTCTTTTATTCAGTTGTTCGACTCACTAATTCACTCTAAAGAGATAGCACCAGTAGAAAAACTTCATTACTTATTGTCAAATGTTCAAGGTGAAGCTTTAGATTTAATAAAAAATTATCCCCTTTGTGATGAAAACTATTTGTTAGCATATAACACCTTAAAACACAAATATGAACAAAAAAGAGTCATCGCTACTGTCTTTTATGAAAGATTATTAAATTGTGAATCAGTGAAGTCAAAGAGTAGCTTAGAATTAAACAGAATTTGTCGAACATTTAAAGAAAATTTAGATATACTTTCGAAATACCAGTTACCTGATAGTAATTTCATGTTATTTAATTTGTTGTGGAGTAAATTGGATGCAGTAACAAGGGAAGCATTTGAGTTACAACTGGATTCAAATGTTGATATACCTAAATATGAAAATTTAATTAACTTCATAGAAAAAAGAAGTCGAGCCTTGGAGAATTCAAACACATCAAAGTCAAATATTATTACTAGTAAACCAACAATTAGGTCAAAACCATCGCTTATTGTGCCTTCGGTTAACTGTATTGCTTGTTCTTCTTCCAGTCATAGTGTGGAGAAGTGTTCAAAATTCAATAGCTTGTCACCCTTTGAAAGATTCTCTTTAATAAAAGAAAATAAACTGTGTATTGGATGTTTTCGGCCCTCACATATTGTAAAGAATTGTAGAACATTTAGCAATTGTTCTAAGTGTAAATATAGACATCACACTTTACTTCATTTTGACAAAGGTGATAATACAGAGCTTTCACCGCAAGCTTCAGCAGTTACCACCACCTTGGCTGTATTGGGCACTGAAACTCAAGTTTTGTTTTCAACTGCAGTTGTTCTCATTAAAACTAAATTAAATAAATGGACACCTATTCGTATTCTTTTGGATAGTGCTAGTGCTTGCAATTTTATTACACACACCTGTGCAAGGAAACTTGGACTTCACATTGGGAATACCAAACAATCTGTTAGTGGTATTGGTCATGTGTCAGCGGACACACTTGGATCAGTCGCTTGTGAAATTATTCCATCAAATGGTGATGTCACTTGTAAATTTTCATTTGAAGCTTTTGTTTTACCAAAGATTTGTTCAGATATGCCATCCGGACAAATTGATGTCTCGGCTTGGAAACATATTCTGGATTTGGATCTTATGATCCCTCGTTCCACATACCTGGACCTATCGATATGTTAGTTAGTGTTAACATTTTGACATCAGCACTTCAAGAAGGCCTTGTCAAAGGCAATGTAGGTCAGCCCATTGCTGTTAGCACTGTATTCGGCTGGGTAGTGATGGGAGAATGTGCTACTCATGTTGATTCTTATCGTTCTCATCGTGTCTCTAGTTCCACAAACAATGATTGTCTCTTTGTTTCAAGTTGGTCTTTGGACAGCAATATTAAACGTTTTTGGGAATTAGAAACTATTGATCCCCCAAATCTGTCGTACTTTCGAAATCAGAATTATCGTGTGAAAACTATATGAACGCTTCATATTGTCGTAGTCCTGAAGGTAGGATGGTAGTACCATTAACTTTCGTTGACCCTCAGGCGAAGCCCAAGTTTTGTAATTCTCGTGAGATTGCTCTCAAGCGTCTTTTAAATTTGGAGAGGAAATTTAAAACAAACCCTCTATTTCGGACTGCTTATGTCAAATTCATGGATGACTATTTTCAAAGTGGTCACATGGAGGAAGTTGAACCACCTTCATCGAATGATGGTAATTTTTATTACATTCCGCATCATGGAGTGATGCGGCCTGACTCGGCTACTACTCCTTTGCGTACAGTATTCGATGCAAGCGCCAAGGATACTACAGGAAGGTCCTTAAATGATTCTTTATTACCGGGCCCTAAGCTGCAAAAGAACATTTTTGACTTGTTAGTCAGATTTCGTTGGCATGCAGTTGTGTTCACTGCAGATATCAAGCAGATGTATCGTCAATTTCTTGTTCATCTTCGAGACTGTGATTATCAACGCATTTTGTGGCGTCCTTCTCCTAATGATTCTGTTAGGGATTTTCGATTACTCACAGTGACTTATGGTGTATCCTGTGCCCCATATCAGGCTCTTTGGTGCATTGCTAGGTTGGCAAAGGAATTTTCGTCTCTTGCTTCACGTGGTAGTGCAGTATTAGCTAGAGATACTTATGTTGATGACGTCGTATCAGGCGCCGATTCTGTAGAGAATGCTCTGCAAATACGTCAGGAATTAGTAGAAATTTTGTCGTCGGGTCATCTTCACTTGCGTAAATGGACTTCAAACTGTCCAGAATTTCTAGAAAAGGTGTCAGATTCCGACTTGTACTCGGAGCAACTTCGTGATTTTGAAGATGTTCGTGATGTTTCGGTTAAAATATTGGGTCTTTCATGGTTTCCTGGGGATGATCTTTTTACATTTAAGACATCTTCCAGTGATACTCGTTGTACCAAGCGATCCATTCTGTCGGACATCGCTAGAATCTTCGACCCATTGGGTTTGTTAGCACCAGTGGTATTTCTGGCAAAATATTTGATACAACTTTTGTGGTTATCGGGTGTCGATTGGGATAGTGATGCTCCCGTCACTATCAGTCAAGAGTGGTCTAAATTTAAATCACAATTGTCGTCGTTAAGTTCGTTTTCCATTCCTCGCAGAATGGTCGAGTCTTTCGAGTCATTACAACTCCATGGGTTCTGTGATGCCTCGGAAAGAGGTTATTGTGCCGTCATATATTGTCGTGTCGTTAAGAATGATGGTTCTGTCGTCGTGCGCTTGTGTTGTGCAAAATCAAAGGTAGCTCCTCTACGTAAGTGCTCAATTCCACGTTTGGAATTGTTAGCAGCTGTCTTATTGTCGGACTTAATTTGCTCATTTGTCGATGCTTTAAAAGAGTTTTATCCCTTTAGTAATATTTATGCTTGGTCAGATTCAACTGTCGCTCTGACTTGGATTCGTGCTTGTCCATCTAAATGGAAAACTTTCGTGGCTAATAGAGTGGTAAATATTCAGGAGAAAGTCCCTCCGCAAAATTGGCATCACGTTTCTGGGTTTGAAAATCCAGCGGATTGTGGTTCTCACGGCTTACTTCACTGTTGACAGTCCAGAATACGTTATGGTGGGCGGGACCTGCCTGGCTCTCCACACCCTGAAGTGTCGCACACATTCAGAGATGTCGTTCGATCAAGCCGCTGCTGATGAACAAAAGATTTATAGTCTTTTCACAGCCTCTAATATGTCGTTTATAGATGATTTATTAAATAGATTCTCGTCGTTACAGCGCGCCTTGCGTATTTTGGCTTATTGTTTTAGATATATTCATAATTTGCAAAACCCTATGCTGAAAAATAATTGTAATTTGTCGGGTGCAGAGATAAATCAAGCGTTTCGTTTTCTAGTGAGGCATGTTCAGGAGCGTTGTTTTGCATCAGAATTTTGTAGTTTATCGAAGGAAGGATCGTCGCTTTCCATTTCCAAACCCATTCGAAAGTTGTCTCCATTCTTGGATGAACATGGTCTTTTGAGGGTGGGCGGTCGGATTTCCACGGGAAACCTAACTTATGATGTCAAACATCCAATTTTATTGCCTCGTAATCATAAATTAACAACACTCATTATCGAAGAGTATCATCATCGGTTTATGCACCCTGGTATGCAAACTTTGAAAAACTTATTATCTCAAGAGTTTTGGATATTGTCTTCGAAGAGAGCTATTCATGCAGTAATATCCTCGTGTGTAAAATGCTTTCGTGCTCATCCTAGAGTTGCAGCGCCACCTATCATGGGTAACTTACCAGCGTGTCGTATCAATCAAATAAAGCCATTTTCGGTTTCGGCAGTCGACTATGCTGGTCCTTTCGATATTAGTTTGGGTCGTGGTCGTGGTACACGTACATTTAAATCGTACGTATGTGTTTTTGTATGCACTGCCACCAAGGCAGTGCACCTTGAACTCGTGTCTGAGTTAACTACGGAAGCATACCTAGCAGCTTTAAGGCGCTTTATCGCTCGGTGCGGTCGTTGCTCTCGGTTGATTTCGGATCAAGGTAGAAATTTTATCGGTGCAGCAAATGTATTGCATGACTTGCTGCAAAATGCTACGCATGTAGAACAAATTGAATTTGTCTTTAATCCACCAGGTAGTCCGCATTTTTCCGGTTTAGCAGAAGCTGGTGTGAAGTCAATAAAGACTCATTTGTCTCGTGTAATAGGTATACAACGTCTTACTTTCGAAGAGTTTTATACCGTCTTAGCTCAAATAGAGGCCATGTTAAACTCAAGACCTCTATCGCCTATCAGTTCGGATCCCAATGACTTTTCGGTGTTGACTCCTGGTCATTTTCTCACCATGGAACCTCTCACTATATTACCTGAAAGTAATCTAGTTGATATAAAATTGGGACCGTTGCAGCGTTGGAAATTGCTACAAAAAATCCATCAGGATTTCTGGCGCAAGTGGCATTTAGAGTACTTGCATACCTTGCAGTCGCGTCTCAAATGGTACAACAAACAACAGGAGATTGATGTCGGCACTCTTGTTCTCATTGTCAATGAGCAATGCAGTCCAATGAAATGGAGGATTGGTCGAGTAGTCAAACTTCACCGTGGTACTGATGGAGTTTGTAGTCGTTACCATTCGAACCAACTGGTGAATGTAAGAGGCCAGTCGTTAAACTGTGCCCTCTACCGTTATCAAATTAAAGACCTTTGTTAAATTTTTGTCGTTTAACTTGTCGTTATTTATCGTTAAATTAATTGTGTCGTTTGAAAGGAAACCTATTGCTAATGTGTAATTAGGAAAATATGTTGTATTTTGGTGGGCGGAATGTTAAGAATTGTAGCTTAAATAAATTTCGCCTGGCAACATTTTCGCACAAAAAAAAAAGTCTGTCGGTTGTTATCGAATGTGTCGGTAGAACGTACGTTCGTTGTCGTCGTTCTCGTTTAAAAATATTATCGCACGCGTGCATATATTGCCGCGAATATCGTTTGTCTTTTCGTATCGCTTTTTTAATCATATCACACATAACCAAGAGGCTGATTGAGAGGAGGGCATTGCACTGCTGGTCGGTTCAAGGCGGTGGATAGGTAACCTGGATCTGAGGGTAAGTTCGAACGAGCCAGAAGTACTGGGAAGCCTAAAGCCAGAACCGAATCCTGCTAACTACAAAGTTTCAGGTCAGTGGTCTCCACTTTAATTATCCTCTTGTGTTTCTTATGTTAACTACCACCATTGTATTAAAATTTCATACAGTCCACTAATAACCGTTGCCGGACGATTAATTTCATTTTTTGTAAGATCTTATTTTACGAACGGTCAACACACACTAACAACGAGACATGCGAACCGTTATATTAAAGGTAGTTACTTTTGTAGGAAAATTAAGATGTCGATTGATCGATTCAGCATTTTGAAAAAAGAACATAATATCGACATATCGATATATGTCGATATTTATATGTTTGGTCATTTGGAGAGGATGGATGAAAGAAGAATTACGAAAGAGATTTATCGAGCAAGAATGGATGGAGATGTCGGTAGGGGCCGCCCTAGACGGACGTATGTCGACCAAATAGGCGACGTGCTGAAGAAGGGCCAAATTGAAAGTACCCGTAACCGGCGAGCGTGTATGAAAAGATTGATGAATGTGGAAGAAGCGAAAGAGGTTTGTTTGAATCGAAGCATTTGGCGTTCCATTGTTTCTGCCTACCCTAATGGGAGACAGGCGTGACAGATATGTATGTATGTATGTATGTAACATAATATCGCACGGCATTGTTATAATGATGGTACGAAAACTACGAATAAGAATAATTGCTAATGTAATATGAGAAATGATGTTGAAAATACGTAAAAAGTGAATTGTTCGAATCGTCTCTGAAACATTTGTTGAAAGTGTTAGGGATTGAGAATCAAGAAATCGGTTTCATTGTGAGGCAATTATTCATTTATTCCAATATGTAACGTTTATAATTTGAGTAGCCGTTATCCGCGCATGGTGTTGTTTTCCCTTTAAGTCGAAATTTTAAGAAATTTCCTATATTCCTAATTTTCTATACTTCTTTTTATATGACTTTTACCGTAGAGACAATGGAGATTTGTTGTCAATGTCAGGCTTAGGAAAGACTCCGCTTAATTTATATCACAACGTTTTAGTAGTTTCGTGCATTGATAATTAGTCAGGACAAAACATAAGTATAGATAGATAAGCAAAAATAACAAGTATCGTAAGGAGATAATTCTATAAGATCAGTAGAAACAAAATGCATTATGAATTATGCTTAATTTAAAAATATTTTTTGATAGAACACACGCAATCTTTGATTATACGCGCAACTTTTTAACCAACTTAAAAAAAAGAGGCTCTCAATTGTATTTTTCTATGTATGTTGGTTTCTATGTACCTATGTACGTGTTATTTTCATGTGTATGGGTTATTCTTGATTGTATTTTTTTGTATGTTGCCTCATAACTTTGTCAATTCTGAACCGATTCGGAATTTTTTTAAACCATTTTTTAATCTGAAAGCATATATTTACAGATTGGTTTCAAAGAAATTTTATAAAAATTAGTTTAGTAGTTTAGATTTTGGATCGAAATAACTGGTTTTATCAGAATTAAAATCGGTTTTTTGGTGGGACACAGTAGTAACTTTAAAACCCATTAACATTCTACTCCTGGACACTGATCTAAGCGTATAAAAGGATATTACCATACTAATAAATAGTATTTTTAGTTTGAACAACATATAATAAATTGAATTAAAAATTATCGAATAACTTTCGATTATTCGCTGTTACCTCCAGCACCACGATCACCAAACACGATGTCCGTATGTTCGCAACCCGTTAATTAAATGTGCCGATGGTATCAGGGTATTGTGTTCTGTAGTTTTGCCTGTCCTTGAGACGAGGCCGCCACTTCAGAACTGGTACGCATCTGGTTCGCCAAGACACCAACCGAATTCAAGTTAGCAAAATGAACAAAATTATTAAATATACTTTCAATGTAATTAAAAAAGGTCCACTTCAGTCATGACAAGGTTCGTATGGAACAACAGTTAATATAGAGTTTTATTCATTCATCATTCACTCATACATTCATTCAATCATACATTCATTCATTCTTTCACTAGTTCATTCATTCAACGATTGTAAAGCTTACCATTTGTAAAAATTATTATAAAAATCGGAACAGAATAGGCGAAAATAATATGTAAATTAATTTATATATTACCTCTTTCTACCATCTTAAATGCTCTACCAATCACAGTGTCAAATTTGATGTACACGTACTATATGTGATGGAGTAGTACTTTTTATCCCGGTCAGTAAATATATCTCGATCACGCGGACAAAATCGCAGGTGAAAGCTATATATAAATATAAATACAAGAATCTCCTTTTCGAAGTCGATTAAAAATTTAGTATTATTACTTGGTCAATAACGATACTGCTTAATGACTTTATTAAGTAACACCTATCCTTAATGATATAACTTATCCGTGTATCAAATTTCTTTTGAATCTGTTTAGTCGTGTAAGCTAGTTAGTGTACCACACATACCATATATCCATCTAAACATCTTTACAAACTTACATATTTGTAATAGATATGGGTGATATCTATATATTTTAATTACAATTTCTATATACTGATTCAATAATGAATAATAATTTCTTAATAATAACATGTTTGCAAATAAATTTATCTTTGTCCTAAAAGTTTGTTGTTCTCAAAATAATATTGGATAACAGACTTAACATATTCGAATATAGATATAGTCACCAGAGGGAGAGTTTGTACAAAAGTCGATTGCTTGAGTACTTCTGTCCCATTCGTGTTTCTACCGTAAAGCAGTTGTGTTTGCATGGCTGTGTTTCGGTTTTAAGGGTGGGATATGGCGTGAATTTACAGAGTACAGAGGAATAACACCTGAGTCCTCAGGAATGGCAACGCATGGGGGTATCATGGGCGAAACAATATACTCTGTCATGTCCATGGTACTGCTCCTGTCTATAGGCGACGATTACCGTTTTCCATCAGGTGGGCCGTCAGCTTGTTTGCCATTC